GTTAAATGAGCAGGCTTGCACACCCTCCAGGGAAAGCTGCAAGGGGAAGGGGTGTCCTGTGTCCTCTCTGCTGTTCCTACAAAACCCAGCCCGTTCTGGGTGGCACTAGCACAGAAAGAGCAGGGGCTGAGGACACCGAGGAGCTTTTCTCTCCTCTGGCAGCCAAAGCCAAGCACGGGACTTGTCCTCGAGGTGTTTGCTGTGCTGTGACCCTGGCACTGTTTACACAGCGAGGAAATTCCTCCTCCCTGGCACAGTCACTGCTGCTTCATGTCAGCAAGAGTGACAGGTAAAGAGAAAAATCTGGGCCCAGCACAGAGATGGATCCAAAATATATAAATAACCAATTAAGGGAAAATATTAATAAAAATATTGTAACAGATCCCAATCTGCTGCCGAGTACCAATTGCCAGTAATAATCTCTATGGTAACTGAACTCTCTTTGGCCTCTCTCTGTATGCAACTAGTGTTTTATGGTTTGGTTTTTTTTTTCCCTTCCCCTATTTTCATGGAAAGTTTTCAAAACTGGTTTAAATATTATGATATTTTCTTCTTCAAGTGCTAACTGGGAGAAGTACTGACTTTGTGTCAGCCTCTAAGCAGATTTTCCCTTCCTTACACGACTGCCTAAGAGGTGACTTTTGGGAGGCTGAGTGGAAGTTCTAAACATAAAACAGGTGAGGGAAGTTTTCCAAATCTAAGAGGTTAAAATATTGCCCAGGAACAGATAAACTGGGAAAAAGAAAATACATACTGTGTAAAGATGTTGCTTTCAGTAGCTGGGGAAACTCTACTCTTTTTTTTTTTGGTGTTTTTTCTATTGTTGCCTGTCTGCACTCGTCTCTTCTTGCCAGCTGCTCTCTTGTCATCCCAGCAGCATTTCTGGGCTCTGGGTGTTCCCCTTTCCCAGCCTGCTCCTGCTTTGGCTACTGGATCCAAAGGAAGGCATCACCTTTGGAAGCAGCATCACTCAGCAAATATTTGCTGTGCTACATCACAGGTGAGGAGGAGGGCTTGAAGGGAGAACACACAGAATCCTGTGGAAACTCTTCCCATGTACATCTGTAACACCCCGGGGTTTTACTCAACTTCTCCTCACTATAGCACAAATATTTCTGACACAATTTTACAGTGGAAGTGTCAGACCTTTATTCAGTCTGGCTTTTTAAACTGTAACTCTGTTATGGCAAAAGATCCCAAAACGAGAGAGTTTGGAATTAGATGCAACCTCTGAAGAGATGATCTTGAATTCCATTTTGAAAAACTTCAGAAAGGGCCATGTGATCAGTGCTCTCTCTTTGCCTTTAGAGCTCGGGTTTCTTTTTAGAGACCGAGAGCATTTCGGTGCTGAAGGATCGTGTAAAATCCCTGTGGAAGTTCATGTTTGGAGGTGCTGGATAAATCAATCATTCTGCAACTCCTGCTTCTTTACACAACAGCCCAAACCAAGACCTTGGAGCTGAAGTTGTGGAGTGGTCTGAAAAGATGGAGCTGGATTCAGATCCAGATCTGAATTTCCTAGTGGTTGCCTGTCTTCCATCTGTTTGTATTTGGATGTCTCTTAGGATATAAGCAGCAGTTCTGGAGTGTCACACATGAATAAAGTGGATAATTATAAAATTAAAAGATATAACGTGCTTCTAGGGGAGATAAGACTACAATTAAAGAGTATAAACAAAGCTGAGTCTGACGTTCAGACTGATATATTTATTCATTAAATATAATAACATAAACAAGACTATTAACTGTCATATTTTAATGATACTGTACCCTGCAAAACGTACTCAGGAAAAAGTCCTATTGACTTCAATAGCAATGCCACATAAATTTAAATAATGGCTGCAGTAAAACAAAATGTCATTGTTCTTACTGAAGATTATTTGTTGTAAATATCCCAAAATGTTAAAAAACCACAAACCTGTAACTCACTGAAATGAGGCTGAGCTCAAATGTTTTATCTGTAAATCTGAAGGAAGCCAGTGGGCAATGCAGAAACCTGTTCCCCAGATAACTGAAATTCAGTCTTCCCAAGAGGGGAAAGCAGCCAGACAAAGCTGCTGTCTATCCCATGTCTTTCTGGAAAACACTGGACATATTTTTGCCCAGGAGATGGCAAAATTTGGGCAAATGTCACTTCATATCAGCAGTGTTAAGATCAGATTCTGACCTTTTTAAATATTGTTAACAGTCAGCAAGAGAGGAAGCCTTACAGCAAAAATTTCTAGCTGGAAAATATGCAATAACTTGCTTGGGGTGTGTAAAAAGCCAGTCTGAAAGGAAAAAAAAAGGCTTTCAAGGATTCTCCCTTGCTGCAACAGCATCGGTGCCAAGAAGATGGAAAATGGGACCACTTGGAGTCACAATTCGTCCCCCTTTGCACCCCCCTGCTCATCCAGGGCACCAGGCAGGGCAGAGGCAGCTCTCAGCACAAACAGAGGTGACCTTCAAAGGGGCCTCAGCCCAAAAGTGTGACCTGCACTGAACTGTGAATGATGATGTCAAATGTTTCCTCGCAGATTAAATTCCTGGCGCTCGCCGCACGCTCAGCGTCACTTGAAGTGCCGAGAAAACGAGCGCTCACTGTGCCATGACAAAGGCCATTGGTTGCCTCTTTACTGAGCCTCATACATATGGTGAAAACATATTGACTAATTACTTGCCATTTTCAAAAACTGAAACCACTCCAAAGCCAGGCCCAGGATAATAGAACGAGATAGAGAAGGGAGAGTAAGGACTGAGAGAACGAGGAGGGGGAAGAGCCCAAGTCTGTGACTGCTCATCCCTTATTCAACATCTGCTTTGAAATATGCAGAGGAACAGCATCTCCCTGCTCCAAACTGCTTAATGAAAACTGGGAAATTAATGCACCTGATTAGTACAGCTGTTCAAAACAGAGACTGCCTGGAGCTCTCAGACAGAATCAGACCCAGCCTGCTCCCAAGGCTGGGGTTCAGCTCTGTGCTGCTCAGTTTCCCGGTTTTCCAGGATGCTGGGAAATGCCCCAGAGAGGCAGGGAGAGCCCTGGGCCGTGGTGATGAATCACTTTGAAGGAGATGGATTAAAGGGGAGATGGATTGAAGGGGTCAGTGTGGAGAGCGAGTCCCTGAGCCACAATTCCCACTTTGGTTTTCCAAACACAAGCAGTCCCTCCCAGCACAGAGCCCCTGACAGATCCCAGCACAGCCTCCACAGGAGCCTTTTTAGTGCCACCTCACTGCCAGCACCTCGGAGCCCTGACAAACCAGACCACTCAGCTGATGAGGAATCCTCCCTAAGCAGTGGGACAAACGTTTGACAAGTTAATTTCAAGGTAGCTCATGGAGTAGAAACAACGGAGAGCTACACAACTGTAAAAAAAAAAGAGAAATGTTGCTGGATAAATTCTGCCAGTAATGGATGTGTTACAGAAAATACACTTAAAATTCAAGCTCTTTGTATTAGAAGACAAGCTCTTTGGTTTCCAAGTAGGAATTGTGAGGGCTTGCTGGAGCTGGGGTTAACAGGAGTACAATTACTGCTATTAGAGTTTTATGATTATGAAACTTGTGCTCTTGTATCCCCAATTTAGAAATAATAGGAAATGATACAGATGACTTTTATAAAATCAAGACAATTTATATAGGAAAAAAAAAATCAATAATTATTCCCTTCTATTTTTCCTTTAAATCACCCAAATAATAGAAATCAGAGACCTGAATAAGATGTCTAAAGTTAATGACATTGTTAGAGAAAAAAAATAAAGAGTGATCAAAAGTTTGATTCATTTACCAAAAAGTTCACAGTCTGTAGAATCTTGCTATTCTACCAGTTGTTATTTTTTTTTAATTCAAGATAAATCTCAAACCATATTTGGAGGTTAGATGTAGTCTTAAGCAGAGACTCAGAGCAATTTTCTATTACATTTCTATTATATGAGAGTTGCTGTTCTAGAAAAACATAGATAATCCGATATCTTTCATAAAAGTTTCAGAAGAAGTCTCATTTTCCAGCTTCTAAACTAAAAATAAAACACTTGAAATGTTTGATTTTCCTTTAAGGCAACTATGAAGCCTGAGTTGATAACATTACTGGTCAAGTCCTAGTAAAACTCCTGGAAGAATTCCCAGCCTTTTGACCAGGACTGGATATTGTTCATATCGTTTTTCCTTCTGTTCTAAGGTAACAATTTGAGTGGATATCACAATTTTGGTGCTGTTGCAGAAATAGGAAGGTTTAACCGTTCTTAAGGGAGTGGGGAGAACTTTGTTCCGTTGACTTTTTAACAGGAGTTTGCAAACCTTCAAATCCTGCCGATGTGAAAGCTGCTTCCCCTGCTCCGCTGGAGTTCCAACCTCAACTTCCCCGAAAGCCTGGGGAAACAGCTCAATTCTGAATAAAAGCAGCGAACAGAAATTCTATTTTTTTCCCCGTTTTGTTCGAGTCATTCTCAGGGCAGTGGAGCCTTCCCCGGGCTCCCTCTGTCCCGGGGGAAGCAGCATGGTCCGTCATTAATTAGGCGATAACAAGTTCTTTTAATGCCTTTATTCTTTCAAAAAAGGATTTTTTAATTTTTTTTTTTTTAAACTTCCTGGCAGTTTCTCAGCAGCGATGGAGCCCTGAGTGCGAAGGGAGCTGGGATAACACTCGGGAAGTTCCTTGGGATGCTCAGTTTCCTCCTGGAGCATCCTCAGTTTTGGTGGTGCTGAATCCCTCGGTCCAGCCCAAGCTGCCTTGTGTGCAAAGCTGCTCGGGGAGTGCCTGAGAGTGGCACACAATGGGCTGGGAATGCCCGGGATGATCCCTGCTCCTGCTTTCCTATGGCTGAGCACAGCCCATCACCCGTGTCACAAGCAGGGGCTGCGAGGAAAGGCCAGTGCATTAAGACAGCACATAATTGTCATCTCTGAGCTCCTGACGTTAATCGTTTTACTTAAAGAAGCCAGTGGAATGTTTTGGGGTTTTTTTTTGTCCCCCCCTCACCTCAAGTGACAACACCCAGGAGATAGTTTGAGTAAAAAAAAATTATAAAAATAAATTTAAAAAGAAAAAAAAAAAAAGACTCAAAATTTTTTTTGCTAATTAAAAGTAATGTGTTTTCCCATTTTTTGGCAATTTGATAACACAAAACACTTACTTGGGGGCCACAGGGGGAAACAAACTGAGACGGATAAAAAATGTTTTGTGTTCATCCAAGCAAGACTATGTTAATGCACATTATCCCATTAATGCACATCAACATCGGGAATAAGCGCGCCAATGCAAGCAAGAAGCATACACTTATCATCATTTGATAACATGTTTAATGACAGATTGACGGTTGATTTGCAAATGTGAACTGGCATCAATGTTGCTAACTTCAGCTTCTGCCGCCTCCTCTGCTATGCCAGCATATTTATGTGCATAATTTGATTTCGCAGCCACACTGTTAGTACATTTTTAATATTAACTATGCAAGAACAGACAGCCGAACTTAAGTTGCACTGATGGTTTGAGTTCATTAGATTGAAAAAGATGGGCAATGCTGACAAAGATGGAGATGGCAGCACAACATCAAAGAGGCAACACTTAACAAACACACTCCATTTTGAACAAACCGAACTAACACATTTCATGTTGTCGGCTGCAGCAGAGCCCTTATGTACAACAGCAAGGAAAAAATATGCTCCTGCCCTGGGCATGCTGACAGCAGCTCTGCGAGCAGCTCAGCAGGCCCCTGGCCACAGAGCTGTGAGATATTTCACTCCTCCTCTGCAGGTAAAGGGCTGATCCTGAGCTGATGGCCGAGTGACAACAGCAGGACTCAGCGCTGGAGTGGCTCCTGATTTACACTGGGGCGAGGCAGAGCCCGTCCCCATCTCCTCCCAGCGCTGCTTTCCACAGCTGGGATTCTTTATGATGAATAATAAAGAGATTTTGCTGAGAGCTCAGCTCTTGCATGAGCAGAACTGCAAGTTCAGAGCCCTGGGGAGGGATGGGATGTCCTGCCCGTGCCACTGGACACTCCTGGTGCCTGCCTCTCCTTTGGTGATCCTGGGCAATTCAGGTCTGCTCTGGAGAGAATACACAGCACTGAGCTGGGAGGAGAATATTTCATCCTCTTCTCACATTAATGTCTGGGCATATACTGCATCTAGTATGAATTTGCTTGTTGTGCTGCAATATATAATAAATTTGAGGCGGTAGCTTTATGGTGCACGTTGTAATTTTCAATTTTATGCTGCAGACTGACCATCCGCAGGATTCTGACCACATAACCCGAGCCACTTTGTGCAGGATGTAACATTAGCACCTCTGAAGCACAGGCAAACCATGATTTAGACACACAATTAGATGGACCAGGTCCTCAACAATTCTCAGCTGCCTGAATTACTGCTGAACAGCTTAATAAACATATAGCACACAGGCCCCTGCTCTGCAGAGCTTTTAAGGATGTTCTTAAGTTTGTCCCTAATCAGCAAAGCAACTCTAACAATTGCTGTTACTCAGAGATTACTCCTGGACCAGAATCCTGTGGTGCTTGGACCCCCACGGAGTACTGGACAAGGCCAGGGTCATTAGGAAGCTGTGATTAAATAATCAGCATAAAGTGTTGATTATTGAATTCAATCCTGGAAACACTTGCCAGGGTGGGGCACTGAGCAAAGGAGCAGGAAAGAACCTTCATCAACCTCGACCAGGCAGCAGCAGGAGGATTCCTGCTACCCCTGTCCTGCTGGCAGCTCTGAGCAAATGCCTCCTGCCAGGATGCTGCCCTGCTCTAGCTGCAAAAAATCTGCTTCTTGTATTGTCTGCTGTGAAACAAACCCCAGCTTTCATTTCAGTGAAACCTCTTGTGGAGGTCTGTGCTCTTTTTGCACAGAGACTTGCACTGCAGGGAGAATAATCCAAATTCCTGGACATTCCACTCAAGGAGTTGTTAAGCAGCTCTAGTGGCTGGTGCTGCACAGACCCCCAGAAAGAGGAATATCTGAACAAACACCCTGGAGACCCCTGGCACTGTGTGTAGTTGTCTATTTTTGAATCTGTTGGTGCATGAGGGTCCAAACCCCACAGCTGTGAAGGTGCTGTACTGAGTGCAAGAGCATCCCTCAGAAAGGCACCAAATAATTTCCACTGGCACAGGGCACCAGGGAGATCTTGCTCAACCTAGTGAGGACACAAGAGATCTTGGAAGCCTTCTAAAGAGTGAAAGAACTAGGAAAAAAAAAACAAAAACCAAAAAAACCAAAAATGGAAAAAAAGGGCCAGCAGAGACAAGTGCAAGAATGAGGCCGTGCTGGGTTTATTTTGTTGTGTTTTAAGATAACACCAGATTATCAGTGGGCGGCTCAGAGAGGCACAGGAGCAGCAGGGTGAGCCCTGTGAGCTGAGCAGCAGAGGAGGAGCTGGTCAGCCCCTACCCAGCCTGGAAAATTGTCCTGTAAACAGCCTCGTGCTGCCTCCTCCTTACCTGGGCTGCAGCCACAGCTGGGAATGAAACAATTGGGAATAAAACCTCATCCCGGGAGAGGAGCTGTGGCCCTGCTCCCTTTTGGGCCGGCCAAAGGGACAGGAGCTGTGTGCAGGCTGTGGGGAGGGTCCCCAGCCCAGCCCTGACCCAGCACCACCCTGAAGTGCTGCTGGCACTGCACGGAGGGCTCTGCAAAAATTCCCAGCTCTGCAAGAATTCCCAGCTCTGCAAGAATTCCCAGCTCTGCATTTCCCCCCAGGGCTGCCCCAGCTGCTGCTGTGCCTGTGCACTGGCAGCACTGGCTGTGGGGAGCTGCAGAGGACAGTGTGAGTGTGACACACTTGGAGGGACCATTCGTTTTCTCGAGTCACAATTATCTCTGCTACCACATTTGTGTCCTCGCTCTTGTCTCGATTTAACTAAGTTACAATTCTCCCACTCTTGTTACTGAGTAGATGCAGATGCCACTTTGTTCTGTGTGATTTATAGCCAGTAGCTAATGCTCAGTTATAATTCCCCATTTTAGACATGAAAAATAGCCTGTAATGCTCAACACAAGGGCCTCTCAACAATGATATATAATTTAAAAATTAACACGAGGACAGAGGAGCCACGGGATTTTGAACTAGGGACTCTCTCATTCAAAGGTTAAATCTCTACAAGGTGAGCTAAAGGAATTAGTTGAGTTATTAAGTGAATGCCTCTGTTCTATTTTCCCAGTACATTAGCTGTTGCAGCCTTTTCCAGTTCAGTTGTGTTCCGCCCCAGCATGTTCAAAGTGCAAATGCTCGTGGCACTGTGTTCACACATTTGCTTTTTTTCAATGTCAAACAAACTGGAGCTGTTCAGAGCCAAAGGTCAAAGTGGAGGGTCCTTAAGGAAATCTCCTGGGAAATGATGTGAGTGCTCTCATGTCTTTATTGTGTATAAAATTGGGCTTCATACGTGGCTCGTCCCTTCCAAGCATCTTAAAGCTATAAATGAGTCATGACTCATTCCTGCAACACCTAAGTTATGTAAGTGGTCTTGCTAATTTACTGGAATATCTCGCATAACTAATCATTTCCAGGATCAGACTCTGAGGCCCTGGAAACCTCTGAGCTATGAAGAGCTCCTTTAGAAGCAGAGACATTAAATCCCAACCTCACACGATGAGGCAAAGGCAGAAGTGGGGACAGAACCTGCATCACCCAACTCACTCTGCCAGACTCGAGCCACAAACCCCTTTTGGCAAAGCTCAGCAACTCAGAGAACTCAGGGAAAGGGAAAAGAGTTTGGCTCTGGAGAGCTTTGGGAGGTGCCATTCCTTCCCTGCCTGCTTTCTGTTCCCACTGAGGTGCAGCTCATCCCCTCGGTGTCTCCTCTGCACTTTGCTTAATGGTCTCGCTCCAGCATCAAATATTATATTTATGGATTACAAATTTATTGACATTTGACATTTGCATCAGCTTTCACCTGATCAACGGGAGCTCTGACTGCCAAAGGGAGTTATTATGGAAGATTTCAACAGCCATGGGAATGCCAAAAAGGTCATTAAATCATATCAGAAAAACAATGTGTTCATAGCATTCATACATTTAGTCTTGCCAGTAAATCTTCTGGTTGATGCTTGGACCACCTACTGATGATACTTAAAGAAAAGGAGAAACAGGGAGAATCGAAGAGATGAATTAAATTAAAACCAAATGACATGACGCCTGGCACAGTGGGATCTTTAATTTTCTACTCTATGAATCCAGAATAAGCAAAAAAAGCAAAACAAAGCACAGTGGCTTGACTTTCTCTAAGTGAATTCCCTCCATACAGGCAGGGCTTAACGAAATAATCCTGAGTAATGTGTGCACCCCACATTATTGCATGAGATTTGTATGTGGGAGGTGCAGGATTCAGAAAACATATGGCACATGGAAAACAAATGACAGGGTGTGCTTTTACACTCGTGCTGGCTATACTTATCACTCTTGTTGATATTTTTTTCCAGACGTGATATATGAATGTAGGAACTTTCACCTTAATCTCTTCAAGAAAATATCCAGAGTTATTTTTCTGTGCATTTGTGATTTACAGGAGGCCACCACATAATTCCTGGGAGTACAGACAATGTTTTAAAAAACACTGATCAAATAAACACCATTACCTCCCTCCTCGTTTCTTCCTTGGATGACAAACCTGGGTCTTGCACCACAAAAACAGCAAGGCCAACAGATTAGGGCTCCATGGAATTAGGGAGGGAAGTGAGTTGCTGGGCTGGGAGCCCACCCACAGCCTGTCTGTGCCTGGCCAGTGCAGGGTGAGCTCCACTGGAGGCTGATCCTGAGCTGAGCCAGCACGAAGGAAGTTTTGAGTTTGCCCTTGGCTGGTGGAAGAGCAGAGAGTTCACCTCACACGAACACAGGCAGAAAGAGGGCATGGCCATATCCCAGAGAGAATCCTCTTTGGTGGCCTCGGGATGGAGGTGAAGAGGTGGGAAAAAGGAAATGGAGTGATTTTAATGCAGGGAAAGGGGGCAGCCGTGAGGATGCAGTTCCAGTGGAGATGGGTGCCAGCAGCTTGTGTTGGTCCCCCAAAATAGGTGGTGACACTGACAGCAGAGTGCAATGAAGAGTGGCACAGGCACTCAGGCAATGGCAGAAATGTTCTCCCAGGCCTTGGCTGGAAGCAAGAGAGAGGTGGAGCAGGATGGAGGAAGGCACACCAGGGCACCCCTGACATGGGCTGGCACAGACACCCCCAGGCCACCTGTGAGGGTCGGGGTACAGCCCTGGGGGAGTCAGAAATGGGCAGTGTTGCTGATTTTCATTAAATGACTGAAACCTGCAGTTTCACATTGGAGTTTGAACAGCTCTCCCAGAGGAGAGGACAAACCCACTGTGTCTGCACAGAGTGCAGTGAGCATCCTTGAGCCCTGGGATCCTCTGCAGCTCAGGCTTCCCAAAGGAGGAATTCCTTCTCCTCCTTCCATGCCCCCTCTGGTCCTGGCTGGCCAGAGGAAAGGCAGGACCTGCCCTGCACAGAGCTTGGTCTGACACTGCTGCTGCAAGAGGTGGAGCTCAGGGGAACAACCACATCAAAGCCACTCCAGCCACCTCTCCTTTCCTTTCCAAAATGTCACTGCGGCACCCTCTGAAACAATGTTTATCATTGCTCTTCGATTGTCTGGGACAATAAATGGTTAGAAATGAGCATATATCACCAGGAAATCTCTGCCTGCCCCTTCCCCCAAGCAGTGTCATAAAAACGTACAAATTCACATTAATAATGAAGTGCATTTCCCCGAGAAGCCACTGTGTATCTCAGGGAGAGCAGGCAAGGTGGCAGTTGCTGCAGAGTTTCCTATTAAAGAGCAGAGCAAATACTCATAAATCTGATGAGGGGCCAAAGCACATGTTAGGGCTGTCTCCCTCTTAATGGAACCTTTTCTGAAATGAAAAAAATATATATCTTGATACATTCAGAGTATTCATTAGACATGACAAGCTCCTCCACTCCCCATGGCTCCCTCACCACTCCTGCATGGGCTGACCCCCGGCAGAAGAGCTGAGTGCTGGCACGGAGGGATTTCGGAGGGGAGGAGGAACTGTTTGCTTTTAATAAAGGGAT